CCCACTGGGGGGCGTGCAGGAGGCAGCTGATCGATCTCTCTCATCGATGTTTCTGACTCTCTATCCCTCTCCCTTCTTCTCTGTAAAAAAATCAATAAAATATATTTAAAAAAAAAAAATTTTTGTGAGAAATTTCTATATTTATTCAAAGTTCTGCCATTAGATAAATACACAGTCATGATGGTTATTTCTTCTTAAAAAATTATCATTATGAAATGTCACTCTTCATCCTTGGTAATATTCCTTCTTTAGAGGTGACTAATACCAATATATCTATTCTAGCTTTCTTATGATTATTGTGTCTATTTTTATCATTTTATATTTATACTAGTGGCCCGATGCACGGATTTGTGCACATTGAAAGAAAATTAATTAGAAGAAAGATTCGTGCGGTAATTATGTTACTGCAAAAAATTACATGTCAAAATAGTATATATAATATAGTATTATAAAATTAAAACACACGTGCGATTGGTGCCAGTGAGAGCTTTATATGTATCGTGCATGCATGAATCAACGTTTATTTTTAAATTGCCAGTGTGCGTCGTATGTACCGGCCAGTTGGTCAGTCAGATGTTCGGATGGACAGATGGTCGGTCACTTAGCCTTTTATATATAGACAGATAATTGTAAAGTGTGTTTCTTGTAGACAGCATATAGTTGAGCTTTGCTTTTTAATCTAGGCTGACAATCTCTGCCCTGTAATTTGAATACTTATACCATTTACATTTAATGTAACATAGATATAGCCTGGTTTAAATCTACCAGGTTGCTAAATATTATCTATTTGTTTTATTGTCTACTTTTCTCTTTTTCTGCCTTTTAGCATTCTGTTACATCTCCACTACTGTTTTTTAGCTATGCTTTACTATTATTATTTTTTTTATAATTCCTTCATACAACTAACTATTCTGAATCTATCTTGAGATAATAATACAATCAGTTCATGTACTGTCTAAAAAATTTGTAACAGTGTACTTCTATCTCTGTGCTATTATTTCCATACATTTACTTCTACATTTGTTATAAACCCTAGAATACATTGCTTCCCCCCACCTAATTTTTGCTTTAACCAATTAAATATCTTCTTAATGATAGGTCAGCTTTTCATTCCTGCGATAAACTCACCTGGTCATCATATCCCATGCTTTAGATTCAACTTGCTAAAACAGTAAATATATCATTAGAATTTTATAAGTTAAAATAGTATAAGCAAACAGACTGTAATGACAGAATAAGTAAGGGACCTAAATCAAATTAGGCAATCAGAATATTCCTCTTGGAAAAGAATCCTATTAATAAAAGCCTATGTGTGAAGCAGGGGGTCCCTTGGGGGTGAGGACGATGGAGCCCCAACGCACTAGGGCGTCTGCATGCACGACTCCGGAGACCAGGTTCAGTGACGCAGATCCATTTTATCGTGGAACTACAGGGGTATATATAGCATGAGGGGACCAATCAGAGGGAGACATGTTGCTATAGGCGACCAATGGCTGAAAGGCTGGGGTACTGTGCACGTGGCTCTAGGAGTTTGTTCAGGCGGGTATTGCTACTTCCTGGTGTGCCGAGGAAGCATGTCATGGTGGAGTGTGCTCACACCATTGCATCAGCCACAGCGCTGAGACATACTTCCCGAGCTCTACGTACATCTCCCCCTTCCTTTCTAATTAGCGCCAAAGCAAAGGAGTTGTCACTACTCAGAAGGAGATAGAAGGGTGGCCTTATAGAAGGGTAAAAGGAGTAGCAGAGGCACGTGCCACTGGAAACTGGGTACTGTCTACACCAACTGGCATGAGAACGCCAGGGTGAGGTATCACAGTTCACAGTTCTTATCTGTGCGCCCCCGTGCTATTAGCTGTGATGATAGCACACATTAATAAGAATAACGTTCCTGCCGACGGGTTCCCCTCTGGCGCCATGCGCACGGCTTGGTCTTGTAGAGCCTTGATGTCACCCCAGGTGATGGGGTGGGCTCGTCGGTGTCTAGGTCGTCTCCGCCATCGGGGCTGGTTCTCTTCTATGGTCAGGTCCTCCATTTCCTCCACGGGGGGTGATGGTGGCGATCTACGGCTCATCGCTGGTGGTGTACGGTTTGACGTCACGAGCAGGGATCCACGCGGGACTTTTGTCGCCTTCTGGAAAAATACAAGCAAACCCTCTCCCCTGGGTTAAGAGCGGGTCGGGGCCTTTCCAGGCTCTGGTGAGTGGGTCTCTCCACCGGACCAAAGGAAGAGGAGTTGGTATGTCCCGGAGTCCTCCCCAATGTTTATACATAGGGGTTAATCCATGCTCATCAAAATGAAAATAATTGAGGGTAGTTAAGGCTTGGGTTAGCAGTGTATGAGGATTTCTCCCTATCACTCCCCCTTTTTCTTTAATCAGTTGGGCCTTGAGTTCCCTGTGTAGACTTTCAATAATTGCCTGTCCCTGGGGGTTATAGGGGATGCCCATGGTGTGCTTGATGTCGTGTGATTTTAAGAAGTCTTGAAATAGAGTGCTGGTGTAGCATGCTCCATTGTCAGTTTTTACCTCCCACGGGAATCCAAAGATGAGAAAGGCAGCCTTGAAGGTGGCAATGCTATGTTTGGCTTTTTTCCCCATTTGGGCCTGGGCGAACGTGGCTCCTGAGCAAGTATCTATGACTGTGTGGACATATTTCAATTTGCCAAATTCTGGGACATGCGTGACATCCGCTTGCCATATGGCATTGGGCTGTAGTCCTCGGGGATTGGCCCCTCTGGGTTGTAAAGGCCCGAGGGGTAGTAGAGGGCCGCAGGATCGGCAAGCGCGCATGAGGTGCTTGCACTGAGCTAGGGGAAGATAGGCGAAGAGCTTATGGAGAGAGGAGGCTGACATATGAAATTTGGTGTGTAGGAGCCTGGCCTCTTCTATGGGTTGTAGGGTAAGAACTAGCTTGTCCGCTTCTGCGTTGCCTAGGGAAAGTGGGCCTGGTAGGCCAGTATGAGACCATAAGTGTTGGATATACCAGGCCTGTTTACGGTTCTCTAGGATGTCCTTTAGGAGTTGGAAGCTCTGATCTAGCGGGGTATCTTTAACTCTTAAGGTGGAATACCCTATATTTTTTGCCGTATGCACCGCGTAAGCATTATCTGAGAATAAATTGACTGGACTATTTTGACAGTAGAGAAGGGCGTATATTATAGCTCTGAGTTCTCCTACTTGTGCTGAGCCTTGATAAGTATATCTAAGGTAAGTGGGGTTGGTGGAAGTTTTAGGGGACTTTATTATTGCTGCACAGTAATGCTTCCCCGGGTCAGTGAAGGCGCAGGGTGCCCCAGGGATAGGTTTACTAGAGGGGCGTACCAGACCTAGTGTCTCTAACGGTACCTTTTGGAGGGTTTGGAGGAGCCTATGATTGGGTAGGTGATTATCTACCTGCCCTGGGTAGTTTAGGAGAAGTAACTGTGTTTCTAGATCTGTGGTTAATAGATGAGAGATTTGTTCCTGCGTATAAGGAAGTATGAGAGTGTCAGGTTCTTTTCCATATAGGGTAAGTGAAGCCTGCCTGAGCTTCCGTCCTATGAGGGCATAGGCCGCTGTTGGGGGCATTACTTTAGCAAGCTGGCTGTAGGCCAAGTGTACCCAATAAAGAGGACCCTCCTGAAATAGTACTCCTGTAGGAGTCCCAATGGTGGCCAGTACTATCGCTTGGATTGGCTGGGTCAAGTCTATTCTGTGTAGCTCTAGCTCCCTTAGAGCCTGGTTGACAGCTTTTAAGACCTCTTTGGCCTTGAGGGTTAGAGAGTGGGTACTAAGGGGGTATGTGTCTCCTTCAAGCAATTGGAAGAGGGGGCCTAGGGCCCCGGTGGAGATTGATAAGCTGTTCCTAACCCAATTAATCTGGCCACATAGTTCCTGTAGCACATGTAGGGAGATGGTATCAGGAATTGCAAGCTGAGGAGCTATGGGTACTATTTGTTCATGTATTTTATATCCTAAAAAGGAGTATGGAGGAATGGTCTGGACTTTTTCGGGAGCTATATGGAGGTTAAGAGCTCGTAGGTTGCTAATAAGTGTTTGGTAGCATGCCTCTAGCCATATAGGGTCCCTATGGGCAATAAGGATATCATCCATGTAATGAGTGATAAAGCATTGTTTGGCTAGAGGTTTGGTTGTCACTCCAACGTAAGCCTGGCACATGGTAGGGCTGTTCTTCATGCCCTGGGGGAGTACCTTCCATTGGTATCTATCTGCCGGTAGTTGGTGGTTGGTAGAGGGCACTGAAAAGGCAAAGTAGGGCCTGTCCTCCGGGTGCAACGGGATAGAGAAAAAGCAGTCTTTAATATCTATGATTTTTATATGTGCTCCCCTTTCGATAGCCGAGGGGTGAGGCAGTCCCAGTTGTAGAGGGCCTAGTTTTTTCATGTGTTTATTTACAGCTCTGAGATCCTGTAGAAATCTCCATTTTACTTTATCCTTCTTTTGTATGACAAAAACTGGTGTATTGTGAGGGCTGAGAGAGGGTTCAACATCCAGCATCTAGTTGTTCCTGTACTAATTGCTTAAGGGCAAGTAATTTCTCTTGTGGTAAAGGCCACTGTTCTACTCATATGGGGTCAGTGGTGTCCCATGATAACTTTATCGGCTGTGGCGCCGATGGGTGAACAGTGGCCCCTAGGATTGGGGGGGCGGGGTGGTGTATATGATTGCATTGACCGCCTCAAGGATGTCTTGGCCCCACAAAGTGTGGGGGATGTCAGTCATGAAGAGTGGGCGGAAAGTCCCAGTATTCCCGTCTGAGTCCGCCCAGGAGAGTCCCCTGGCAGCTTGGGCAGCCCTCTTGTAGCCGCTGACTCCCTGAACTAGCCGACCGGAAGTGGTCGGCCATTTGGAACTCCGCTTCTCCTCTTGAATAACTGACACATCTGCCCCAGTATCTGCTAGCCCTTCTATTCTCTCTCCCTCGACCGTTAAGGTAAGGAACGCCTTGCTCTGTGTAAGAGGTAGCATCCAATATACCCCTTGGGTCGGCTGCTCTCTTACTGGTGGGGCTGAGAGCTGCCCCTCTTCTCGTTTAAAGGGGGCAGTGGATTGCCATCTTTATCCTTATTGGTTCTGCAGTCCCTGCACCAGTGTAGTCCCTTTCTACAGCGGGGGCAAACGGAGGGGGGTTTTTTCCCTTCCCCTCCCAGTTTTCTCTTCCTGTTAGGGCAATCCTTCGCAAAATGGCCGATCCCTTTACACTCATAGCATGCTCCTTTCTGTCCTCCCGATTGGCCTCCTAGATTGATATGAGCGGCCAGCGCTGCCGCAAGGGTTGCGGCCGACTTACTGCCTACATCTCGACAGGTAAGCACCCAGTCATCTATACTGCCTGCTTTAACTGGAGCGATTGCCTGGCGGCACTCAGTATTAGCCCCCTCCCAGAGGAGCTCCCTGGTAAGGGCTTCCGCTGCCTGGGCGTGAGTAACCTTACGGTCCACAGCTTCCCTGACTCTATGTAAAAATTCTGAAAACCCTTCATTGGAACCCTGTAAGAGCTTGGACAGTCGCGTAGGCTTACCCCTCGGATTTATTTGGGCGAAAGCGCGCATAGCACAGAGGCGGACTTGATCAAAATATCTAGCGTGCCCCTGGGCCTGGACAGCAGGGGAAGAGAAAACTCCTTCTCCCTGTAGTGCATCTGCCTCATCGTGCGGATTATGGGCTTTTCCTGCTACCGCGGCTCGATTGCTTTCCGCCTGTTGCTTGCACTGTTCATAAAACAAAGCCTTCCACTGAATCATGTCGCCTGGGGCTAGTATGGTGTGAGAGAGGCATTTCCAATTATGAGGGCAGTTAAGATTTATACTAAAATTTTCAAGTAGCTGTTGGGTGTACGGGGCTGATAACCCATCCTCCTGTACTGCCTTTCTAATGGCCAGTAGCTCCTTTTGGTTAGGCGGTATCCACGCCTGAGGTTGTAGGGCAGTAGGATTAGTGTTGACCGGGAAAGCCTGAGTTTCTAAGCCCAAAGAGAACCGTGCCATGTCCCTCTGCTGGCATTGGGATTGGTATAGCCCTGTCCAGGGATTATCGTTCGTGTCCCCAACAAGGGAGGCCGGAGCAGTCTGCTGCGGGGGACCTGCGCTTGGCTTCCTGCCCTGCGCTGTTTCGGCCGAGGTAGCGGCTTCCCCCGTTTTAGTTTCGTTTTGTTCCACTTCCTTCTGAGCTCTGTTGGTGGTAGATACTTCCCAAGGGTCGGCCTCTGGGGGACCCTCAGGTGCCGAGGGAGTGGTGGTAGTGACCGGGGGATTGTAAGGTGGCAAGGGAAGCTTAGGGGGAGGCTCGTCCTTCACTGTGGCTGAAAAGGCTGTGGGTACTGGGAGTGGCTTTTCGGGCGGAGCGCCGGACAGGCTAGCCAGGATAGCTAAGATGGCCGGTGTCAGAGAAGGGGGTAACGATTTTTCCTCGTGGACCTCAGCAGATCGAATCCTTTTCAAGACCTTCTCCCAAGTGGAGAGGTACCAAATGGGGGCCTCGATTAACCATGGATTGGACTGTAATAGATATTCCCAATGAGTTTGGAGTTCCTTTTCAGAGACCTTAACTCGCCTGCTCTGCAGTAAGGCGTGGAGCGCACGCGCTTGTGGCGCTCTCGCCAAAGGGGGTAGGTTTCCCATTTTACTGTAGAGGGTTGCTCACCTGTCCAGCCGTTCTGGGGGCCCCATGTTGGGCCCCAGATGAAGCAGGGGGTCCCTCGGGGGTGAGGATGACGGAGCCCCAACGCGCTAGGGCGTCTGCATGCACGACTCCGGAGACCAGGTTCAGTGACGCAGATCCGTTTTATTGTGGAACTACAGGGGTATATATAGCATGAGGGGACCAATCAGAGGGAGACACGTTGCTACAGGCAACCAATGGCTGAAAGGCTGGGGTACTGTGCACGTGGCTCTAGGAGTTTGTTCAGGCGGGTATTGCTACTTCCTGGTGTGCCGAGGAAGCATGTCATGATGGAGTGTGCTCACACCATTGCATCAGCCACAGCGCTGAGACATACTTCCCGAGCTCTACGTACATATGTGGTCATCATGCCCTCATGCCATGACACGCTCACACTGAAACGAACGATCACCAGGAGGCTGTGTGTGGGTAGGCAGTGCTGCATTTGCGTGTGGGTGGGCGGGGGCTTGACGCTGCGTGTGTGGCGTGGGGTGGGTCCCGTGGCTCCAGCCTACCTCTTTGGGGCAATCCATCGAGGAGCTCAGAATGGGTGGGCAGGGCCTACCTCTTTGGGGTGATTAATTGCAGGGCTTCTGCACTGTGAGAGGGCACAGGCCAGACAGGGGGGACCCTCCCCGCCACAGAGTGCACACATTTCTTGCACCGGGCCTCTAGTAGTATATAAGCTGTGATCTACAAGATAAGAAGAAAGCAGTTATGAATATATTCATTCCAACTTGATCATTTCAGCAATTCGGTGACACTAGTAGAAATAGAAAATAGTCTCTTAAACTTTAGGCCAAAGCTATTCTTTTACAAATGAGGGTATAAAGCATAGAGAGAGTAAAGAAGTGAAGTGACTTATCTAAGGTTTCCTAGTTACCTATCTATATTGTTGGGACAGTCAACTAATCTTCTAACCTTAAGTCACGTGCTCTCCTCACAAAAGCTGATTTTAACTAGTAGTGTCTACAGTCATTGAAGAAGGATATTGTACTCATACTTGGCATGGTCCAGATTGGTTTGCCTCCATACTTCAGAGAAGACTTTGACATTGGCTGGAGTTTTTAAAATGTTAAAAAGTAGTCCCTGGTGAAAGCGATACTTTAATTCTTTGGGAGAGAAGAGTAGCCCTAAGAATTTGTTTGTTTTCCCCCTTAATTTTTAAATTGAGTTATATGTGTTTCACAGATTTGTTTTTTTCTTTTTATTTCTTCTTTTTTGTTTGTTTCACAGATTTTTAGTGGGCAGTTTGATCATTGTTCTGAGCTGAATGTTTGTGTGTCCACCCCAAATTCAGATTTTGCAATCCTACCCACCAATGTGTTGATATCAGAAGTGGGGCCTTTGGGAGGTAATTAAGTCTTGAGGGCAGAGCCTTCATGAAGGGATTATTACCTTTATGAGAAGACACAAGGGAGCATGCTTTTTTAATTTAGTTTTTATTTATTGATTTTAGAGAGAGGAAGGGCGCGAGAGAGAAAGATATATATCTATATCTATATCTATATCTATATCTATATCTATATCTATATCTATATCTGTATCTATATCTATATCTATTGGCACCTTGACCTTGGACATCCCAGTCACCATAATTTTGAGAAATAAATGTATGTTGTTTATACCACTAAGTCTGTGGTAATTTGCTGTAGCAGCCCAATTTAAGACAACTAGTTTTTAAAAATGTATATACAGTGGGGCCTTGACTTACGAGTTTAATTCATTCCGTGATAGAGCTCATAACTCAAATTACTCATATGTCAAATCAAAAAGTGAACGAGTGAGACACATGATGCTGGGCTGATGTTGTGGCGTTCACTGTGATGTTCGCTGAGCCAACTAGCGGTGGGGTATCTGAAGCTGGCTCGTAACTCGAATTTTAGCTTGCAACTCAAAGCAAAAATCGGCCAAGAGACGGTTCATATCTTGAAAAACTCGTTAGTCGGTACACTTGTAAGTCAAGGCCCCACTGTACTCAATAACTCATAGTCCAATATATACAGAATATTTTTTCAAACTTCCATTTCTTTGTGCTCCTTCCCAGTCAATTCTCTTTCCCCAGAAGTAACAATTTTTATTTTAATTATGCTGGCTTATTTCACTTAGCATAATGCTCTCTTCTTCTAGAAATTTACGTAAAGAGAATCATGCAGTAAGTACTCTTTTGTGTTGGCATCTGTCACTAAGCATGTTTTTGAGATTCATCCATGTTATATGGATCAAGAATTCATTCCTTTTTATTGCTGAATTACATTTTATTGTAAGACTATACCACAGCTTGTTCACCCATTCTCTTATCGATGAACATCTGTGCTGTTTTTTGTTTTCTTGATGTTCTCTGAATAAAACTGTTATGAACTTTCTTGCACAAGGATTTTTTTAAATGAACATTTAGGATTAAGAACTGCTGGGTCATAGTTGCATTATCATCTAAGAAACTATCAACAATTTTTCATTTTACATAATCACCAGTGATGTATAAGAGTCCTTGTAGTTCCTTTTCTTTATTTAGTGTTAGTCTTTTTTTTCATTTTAGCCATTCTAGTAGGAGAGTACTAATATCTCATTGTCAATTTAATTGGTTTCTGCTGTTGATTCAGTCTTTTTAAAAAAATTCTTTATTGTTTAAAGTATTAAATAAGTCTTCTTTTTCCCCATTGACCTCTCCCCAGCTGCTCCCACCCCTCAGCACATACCCTCACCCCCCTACTGTCTGTGTCCATGGGTTATATGCTCATATGCATGCATACACGTCCTTTGGTTGATCTCTTACCCCACCCACTCCCCTGCCTTTCTTCATAGGTTGGACTGTCTGTTCCATGCTTCCATGACTCTGGCTATATTTTTGTTCATCTGTTTATGTTGGTCATTGTATTCCACAAATGAGTGAGATCATGTGATATTTGTCTTTCTCCGACTGGCTTATTTTGCTTAGCATAATTCTATCTAGGTCCATCCATGCTGTTGCAAATGGTAAAAGTTGTTTCTTTTTTACAGTAGTGTAATATTTCATTGTGTAGATGTACCACATTTTTTAATCCACTCATCTGCTGATGGGCACTTAGGCTAATTCCAAATCTTGGCTATTGTAAAGTGTGCTGCTATGAACATAGGGGTGGATATATCTTTTCTGATTGGTGTTTCCGGTTTCTTGGGATGTAGTCCTAGAAGTGGGATTACTGGGTTAAATTGGAGTTCCATTTTTAATTTTTGAGGAAACTCCATAGTGTTTTCCACAGTGGCTGTACCAGTCTGCATTCCCACCAGCAGTGCACAAGGATTCCTTTTTCTCCACATCCTCGCCAGCCCTTGTCATTTGTTGATTTGTTGATGATAGCCATTCTGACTGGTGTGAGATGGTGCCTCATTATTGTTTTAATTTGCATCTCTCAGATGATTAGTGACTTTGAACATGTTTTCATATGTCTCTTGCCCTTCTGTATGCCCTCTTTTGAAAAGAGTCTTTAGGTCCTTTGCCCATTTTTAATTGGATTGTTTGTCTTTCTTTTGTTAAGTTGTATGAGTTCCCTGTAAATTTTGGAGATTAAACCTTTATCAGAGATAACATTAGTAAATATGTTCTCCCATGCAGCGGGCTTTCTTATTGTTTTGTTGATGGTTTCTTTTGCTGTGCAGAAGCTTTTTATTTTGATGTAGTCCCATTTGTTTATTTTCTCCTTAGTTTTCATTGTCCTAGGAACTGTATTGGTAAAGATATTGCTACGATATATGTCTGATATTTTGCTACCTGTGGCTTCTTCTAAGATTTTTATGGTTTCCTGTCTTACATTTAAGTCCTTTATCCATTATGAGTTTATTTTTATTTATGGTGTAAATTGGTGGTCTAGTTTCATTTTTTGCATATATCTGTCCAATTTATTAAAGAGACTGTCTTGACTCCATTGTATGCTGTTGCCTCCTTTGTCAAATATTAATTGAGCATAATGGCTTGGGTCAATTTTTGGGTTCTCTGTTCTGTTCCACTGGTCTATATGCCTGTTCTTGTGCAGTTTTGAGAACAGCGGCTTTGTAATATAGCTTGATATCTGGTATGGTTATCCCTCCAACTTTGTTCTTCTTTCTCAGGATTGCCTCAGCTATTCGGGGTCTTTTTTTATCCCATACTAGTGGCCCAGGGCACAGATTTGTGCACATTAAAAGGAAATTGAGAGCCCGTTCCCACTTGCCCAGGGAGTTTCCATGTCCCTGTGAGCCACTGAGAAGTGGCGTGGGAAGTCTGTCCTCCTCCCTCAGCTTCCTGAAAAAATATTTCCAAGTGTCCCTTCTGCTGCCAGGGTCGCGCCTTGCCAGCTGGGAGGTCCCTGGTGGACACCTTGGGCCATGCTGGACATTTTCCACTGCTCAGAGCCGGATAAGAGATGCTCTGTGATAGGTTAACGTGGGAGTTTGCTGCCTCGAACAACCACTTCAAAAATACAACTAAAAGACGGAACGGACATCATCCAGAACCACAGGAAGGCTGGCTGAGTGGAAGTTCTACAACTAGGAGGAACCGAGAATCAGAGGAGGCGCAGTGCTGAAGTAAAATACTAAGGTGTGGAGTGTGCGCAGCGCGGGCTGGTGGCTGAGGGCGCAGTTGACTGTTTCAATCCGGAGGAAGCCTCAGACTCTGAGCTCCAGATCCGGGCGAGTCTCTAGGGACCCAGACTCAAATGGGAGAAGCGGGACTGTCTGGCTTCGGTCCCTCCGAGGTTTGCAGCGGTTGCTGGGACAGAGAGGCAGAGCCCCTGGGGACGGACTGAGAGCAGCCATAACTGCTCCCTCCTCCTCCCTGTTGATCCTGTGGGACCCGCCCCGCCCAAGCCCTGCACAGAGCCATTTGCCGGATAGCCTCAGGCAAAGGCTAGATTAGCACCTCCCTAGAGGACAGAAGTTCTCCCACTGCAAACACAGCTGATTCTCACAGCCAGTTGGCCTGGAGGTCAAGTAGTAATTA